TTCGAACCAGTGACCTTTCAATCAACCAGCCCAGCAGCACAGCGGTTTAAACCACTGCGCCACCTGCAGTCCCCCAAATTACATAGAAAACCATAATTTAAATCTAGTCTTAACTGACTAGTGATTTAATTCAATTTGATTTAAATCAAATCCACCCCAACTGTGGGGCCTGAAGACATGGTCTCACAGTGCTCATGCAGGTCACAGCCTTGGGCCATGAAGTTTATGGATTAGGTCCCAAGGCCCCTAGCAGCAGGCTAGAAAGGGCAGCAATTACCAGACTGTTCTTTGCCTCTTGCTTTGCAATGGACACTACTGGTTTTGTGCAGCATTTTGAATTCATTAATGATATCAAAATGAGCTAGCAAATAAGTGTGAAGAAATAATATAATACTGTTTAAGGGCTTGAGTATGGTCATTAGTGGGAAATTGGACTGTAAGTTAGGAATGCTTTCGTCTTTATTTTTTAAAGTTGTATTATATCTGGAACATAATATAAAACAAGAGAAACCATCTTAGTCTAATGGTGAATGTTAGACTTCTTAGTATCGCAGAAAGTATGTACAAATTAAATTACTACTTAATTACCAGCCACATTATGATTTTAAATATTTTAAATTGGTTGATAGTTCTTCCTCCATGATACTGGGGATGTGGGAGTGGGAGAAGGGGAGAAAATAAAATAGTTATTAATTATTTTAAGGTTGTTGGGGTTTTTTTTGACAAAGTTGATCTTGTTACTAGAGTCTACGGCAATACATCTTTTACAAAACTTGGCATTTTCTTATGTAGGATCCTAATACAGTGGTACCTTGGCTCACAAACTTAATCTGTTCCACGACTCTGGTCACAACCCAAATTGGTCATGAGCCAAGTCAAATTTCCCCATAAGGTTCAATGTAAATAAGGTTAATCCATTCTGTAAATATATTCTTTTAATCACAGGGAAGACAGGCATGATTGTGGGCGCACTCGGGGGGAGGTGGGCGCACCCCCCCTCCAGCACACCTGTGATCGTCACCCGATGCGGAGTTCATGACCCGAAGAAAAATTTTCTTGAAATTTCTGTTCGCGACCCGATTTGGTCGTTAACTGAGGCGTTCATGAGCCGAGGTACCACTATACTGGTTTTAAAACAGGGATAGGGAATGTGGCTCTTCAATATGGTAGAGTACCTTGAGAGCAATGATGTGATGTTTAGACAGACAAAGTCCTACAGTTTCCAGTATCCCTCCAGCTGGGGAGGTGGGCTGGGGCATGCTGGGAATTGTAGGACTTTCTCTGTCTAAACAGGCCTAGGATTTTTTTTTTTGTTGATATAAGCTGTGTGGAATATTTGAACTCACTAGCAGTACTTCTAGGTGACTATTATAGACGGGACCAGTTGTCAGAATATGATGTGGTAAATGTAAATAGGTTTCGTATATGTTTAATTATGTGCAGAGTCTACTTTATTACTTACATTTGCTATAAACCTATGACATAGAGAAGCCTTAGGAAATACTTGAAAGAACTGGCATTGAGCCAGCACCTGTTCTGAATTGTGAATAGCCATCTGGTGATTTAAAGCATGGTTCGCCAGGCTGCTATGGAAACCAAGTATTAAATAGAAGCTAGCTGTTTGAGTTTAGAAAAACAAAATCCTAATTGAAAATAGAACTCTGCATAATCCCGAACATGTTGGTGACGTGCACAAACTAAATAATGTTATTGATGAAATGGTTCTGCTTTGGAGACTTCCATCGTGGTCCGAGATATACTGCTGGCTAGATACTTTTTCCTCTTAGAGGATAATAGTGTGTACATTTTCTTAAGGACATCTTTGTCTTCATGAAATCTCCTTAGTTACCGTAATGTTAGGATCAGATTAAATGGCTTTGTTCAACAGAATGGATAGTAGGACTCTTTCCTTAGCAGGCAAATGGGCAATTTGTTGATTAACTTTGTAAAGCACCAAAGGGGTGCTACTCTGAAATTTGGCTGAGCACTCAAATGCAGCTACAAATGCAGCTGCTTCCACAGCCCTAGACATAAAAATCTATAAAGCGGCTCATAAACTTTGCCTGATCTTGTAGCAAGCCAAAGGGCGCTTCTACTGGCACTACCGGATTCTGGGTGCCTGTGTATCTTGTTGAGAGCCCTGTGCAGGTTCTTATGCACCCAGCTATGATTAGAAATCTGTTGGAGGGGCAAGTGGGTGTGTATATACTTGCTGACCCTGGCTATTCAGTTGTATTCCTGCATCTCTCCATGCTTTGGAAGAGAGGAACTTCTGAAGCAGATAATCTGAATGACATGGGTAGACTCCTTGCCCAACCCAGAATGCTGTGTCATAGGCTTATGACTTCTATGGAATCCCTCTCATTGTAGTGCAGGCTGCCTGCTTTAGAGTTTTCTTCTCAAATCCCTGGTGGGTGGCCAAGTGATAGGGCCATAAATGAGGAGGTGGGACCACCAAGAAATTAATGATCATGTTGTGGTGAACAGTTGCTTAGGGCCTCTGATGTCGGGTTAAGCTTTTGGAGCATCTTCAAAGCCCAACACGATTAGAAGGACAAGCCAAAAGGACTAACCTGAGGAGAAGGGTAAACCTTGACCCTGCAGTTACACTGACTCACAGAGACATCAGTCATCCCCCACCTCTGAGTTGCAGTCCCAGGCAGCTTTTCCCAGCCTGCTACTTCTGGATGCACTGAACTTCCACTCCTATAATTCTCAATCTGCATAGCCATTAACTGAGAGTCATGGAAGTTGCAGTACAGTGCATCTGAAGGGCACCAGCTTGGGGAAGCCTGGTGTAGGGCCATGGCCAGTGCCTTGTCCTTGTTTCCTCTGAGACCCAGTGCAAGGTCTGACACAAACTCTGTCTGCTTCCCTGGGTGGCTACCAGCATGTAATACATGCTTGCTGGTGGCATGTGCAGGTGTGGTCCTCTCCCTATGTAGTAATTCCCAGCCAATAGACAAGAATGAGATGGTCATATAACTTTTTGCATCTTCAGCTGGATTTCTTATGAGGATTGTGTACTTTCCGTTTCCGCCCTCAGGAAACCCTGTTTGTGTACTTCCTTGGTTCCGCCCTGTTTGTGTCTGCAGTATCCCTGGTTAACTTCAGGGCAGGATTTCCTCATGCTTCGGTACTAACCCATATAGTATAATTAGATCCTGCAAAATAATTGGACATTTCCAACCTAGTACTCAGATTTGAATATAGACAGTGGACCCTGTATTTGATGAATGTCCATTCTTTTTAGAAATCTTTTTAGAAACCTTTAAACCTTTTTTGTATAAAGCTGGAGAACAGAAACAATTTGTATGCAAGGCCATTATTTAGAAAGCAGTATGGAATAAAGTCAGTCAGGATCAGCTGTGAAAGTAGTTTGTCTGAAAACAGCTCATTTGTCAACTAAATACACATTCAAATTAGTATCTTACTGAAAAATATCAAGCACCGTTGTCTGTGTACAACCTTCTTTTAGTGTTGCCATGAGATGAAGCCAAAGAACAAGTAAAATAGATCTCAAAGGCCACAACAGGAGTATTTCCACATTTTCTACCTTAGTTAAAGTGCACTTGTCCCTTGCATACATTTCAGAAATCATCATAGAGTTCTCTTCTACAATCCACCCAGTAGCTAATGTAAGCACAAGTGTAATATTTATGTTCCTTATTCAAGTGATTTAGAGATCTAAGCTATTAAGACCAATAGCCAATGTTCTTATATAGGGTTACATTTAAGGTAAGGCTAATAAGGACCTCTGTCAAATATGAAGGTAATCTGATAACTGAGAATGATTGGGGTGTGTGTACAGCTGTCATGTACTAGAATCACCTGCCCCTTCTTCATATCTACCTGTGAGGACATGCAGGAAGAAGAAAAAATTATTCTGACCCAAGCCTCCTCTTTGACCAATATGTAACGCATGGGTCCTCAAACTCCGGCCCGCCTTGCCCTTTCATCCGGCCCGCACCACCGCCAGCGCTTGCCGCGTGGGCAGGAGGTCGTGGCTTGCTCACTCGAAGATGGTTTTGGACTCATTGGGAGATCTCCCAGCAAGTGAGTTGCCGCTGCGCACGCCCAATGCCATCTCACGCACAGCTGAGGACACCTCACCGGCCCGCGCGTGTAGCCGCCACCTTTCAACTGGCCCCTTATTGAAAAAGTTTGAGGACCCCTGATGTAAAGTGATAAATGACCATATGGTTTGCCTGAAATGTTTGCCTGAAACAGCCAGTGTTTGCAAAGCTGTGTTCTTTCTGGTTTGGATCTAGTTTCTTTCTGTGTAAAGCCTGGCATTCTTCCGTGTGATCTGTGAAGCTTTCACATTCCTGGGCTGCCCATTTAATTCAGTCTCGAGAGCCTCTGCAGGTCATTTGTTCACAGCTTGCAGTTGCTGAGCCGGCAGCAGCTCATCAAACCCTTGAATTCTCAGTGCCCAAGCCCCTGGGAAAAATCCAAATTTAAGGAAGGTCCCGTAGAAGGGAAAATATGCTAGTCCTACTGCAAATGGGGATATGGGGATATGGGTAAATTACTTTTTGGTAATAGGCATGGTTTTGTTATAAATTGTTAGCATAACTATGGAGAACAAGAGATGTAAGCATGACTGATTTTTTAAAAATTATATAAAGGTATGCATTGAGGATAAAGTCCAGAAAGGTTATTTTTATTTTTTATATTTTTACTTAAGAAATAACATTTAGGGAGTGTTGCATTTTGAAGTCCTAACAGGGGTTTATAGAAGCTCAGTCCAGTGTTCAGCACTGGACAGAGTGGGTTTGCAAGCCGAAGTTAATGGAAGTATCCCTTCAAATGAACTTCAAATGAGACAGGTTTCTGGCACTGTCACAGAAGCAGTTCTTCATTTGGTTATCTTGTTAGATTTTGTCTTCAGAGTGGCTGGAAAAACCAGTTCTTTGGATCTTCTTTCCCATATAATATTGTACCTTGATTTCATAATTGCATATCTGTCAAACCTAAATACTTATGTTTTTCAACAGGTTGGTCTTTGGGATGCTGTACCCTGCTTATTATTCATACAAAGCTGTAAAGACAAAAAATGTGAAGGAATATGTAAGTTTTCTATTTTATTTTACAGTACTGAATATATTCCTATTTTGAATGTGCTTTGAATAACAGCTGTATCAAAAATCATGGACCTGCTTTGAATGTCACACTGCAGTTCCTGGGCTTAATCCAGGAATTGCTGGGGATGAGTGAAGGGTTTGTACTAAGTTACAGTCCACTTCAGACAGCCAGGTGTGATGTAATACTGATTTCCTGTAAAATATGAGTAATAAGCTAGGAGGTTGTGCTATGAGCATGCTCTTCTTAGCTGCAGCCCTGCCCTTAACTGATGCATATGCTCCTTCCCCACTGTAACTGTGAGTGATGGGTATGGTGGCGCCGTCACTAATCCCTTTTTTTAATCAAGAAGTTGTCGAGTTGAAGTGGCATATGGTGCTAGCTTGAGCCCCTCTGTTTCTGGGGGTTGTACTTTCTCTCACATGCAGTGAACCCAGCTTAATGGAGGGTGGAAGGAAAAGAGAACACTACACTGTACAATAAACTTAGAACATGATGGAGCTTCCTCCTCCTCTCCTAGTTTTCAGTGGTTGCATCCCAGTTCTGAAACACTCTCTGGAGGGAGGATTGGCTAGTGCCCTTTTTAGTGCCAGATTAAGACCTTTTTTAAAAAAAATGCCTTAAATTAGATTTTTATGTTTTTTGCTGGCCCTCACTATATTTTATTTTTGTACTCATGCATGTTTTCTACATTCAGATACCACCCTTATATCAGTACTGAAGGGTGTTTGAAGCTTTTTAATTAACCAATAAATACCTTGTGCTGTTTGCATGTACCATCATGTCAATGTACTCTTCCTCAGAACTGAAACAACCAGATATTTTGAAAATGAAATCCTACATATGTATAAGTATAAGCAAGTATGAACCCTATTGTTCCTCTTCAGAGTTCTACAGACAAAACTGCTGTTTAAAAATTTATATTCGTTCTACAGACAAAATGAAGCAGAGTAAAATAGAGAGAGGCAGACTAGAATGCTGCATAGATACAGTCTATAGATACAGTACAGGTTCTGTTCCTGTGTCCTTATCTGCCAGCTTTTTGATCTAAATACGTAGGAGCTCCTACTTCCTTCCTTTGATAATAGGACTTCTACTGGGTGTGTAATTTGATATGTTATAGAGCTAGTGGAAGTAGGGCTTGATGTTATGGAGTTTGCATCTAGGGTATTTATAGTATGGTGCTGCAAGATTTTGTTGGTACTCAAAAGTAAATGCTGTTGAATCCAGTGGATTTTATTCTCCAGTAAGTGTGCAGGGTTCTAGCACTGGTGTATAAATGAGCTTAGGGGAGACACTTGTTTTATCAAGTAGAACATTGTTGTGCTATTTCCTCCTTGGTAACCAAAAGCAAGATACAAAATTCATGCTCTGTTACAGCTTGTCCATCTTAAAAGGGAACACAATGAGAACTGTTCTTAATGCCTGCCTTAACTGAAATTAGAAGTTTCCAGCAAGTATGCAGTTTTTAAACAGGAAAGATTTGATGGGGCTGTGTGTTTGTAAGAAGTCTAGTTATTAAATGTCTATTCAGTGTCTAGTAAGACATTGAAATTGTACCTCAGCAGGTTTCTTTTTCTGTGTCAAAAATACTCCCAAAAGCAGCTAGTGACTTTACAAAGATAGAATTTTAAAACAGCTTTTGGACCACCTTGTAGAATTTGGCAGGGGTGTGGATTACAGAATGTGCTGATTTTTGGATCTGCAGATTAATTTGGGAGGTGCAGATCAAGTGACTTAGCTTTGGAATGCAGACCTTCCTTCCCTCACTGCAAATTCCTCATTCATCCTTTCTTTGAATTAGAGTGTTGAAAGCTCTTATTCATTCTTCAGAGAAATAATGTTCAGCTCTTGTGTTCTGATGGGTGGTTCAACCAAATCTCTTCCATACAGTCTTCACAAAATTTTGGCAAGTTAGGTAGATTGTGTGTCCTTGAAGGTGTAATTTGCAGGAAGTTTTCCTGTTCAGTCCCTGGCCTCTGGCTGCAGGAGACAGAACGTATGATCAGAACTTTTCAAGATAGCAGACACATTTTCTCCAGTCTGTGAAGGTTAAAGTTTGTGGCTTCTTATAACCTGCTCTGCATGTGTTTAAGATTTAAAAGTATAATGTTTTAGCATTTCTAAAATTCTCACTTGAAAAAGTAATCAAGGTGTTACTCTTTACTCCTGCATTTGAGCTTTTCCCTGGACCTTATACTTGGAAAAGCCAAGCACAACTTCCAGGTTTTTTAACCCCTTCCATTCAGATTTATAGTTTGTTGATTACTAGTAGAACTTCAGCTAATCTATATATGAGAGAGAGAATGAAATAAGAATCTGGGAGATGAGGCAACACCCAGTTTGATGCACCTATATCTAGTCACAGTCAAGACTGAAAATTAGATATGGGATGTATATCTGGTTGAATAGAAGGTGCTTTCATGCCTGGTTGCATTGTTGTTTGAACTAAATACTAGATTTGATCCAGGTTTGTGTGAGAAGGTGACAGCAGAATGTCCCCTCTCTTCGTGCGCATAAGCGTGTACAGCGCTCTTCCTAAGTGTAGCACTTGGGTTTCCTCAAAGGGCTGCTTCTGAATGGCATGAGGCCCTGATGGCAGTTCACTTTCTTACTGTACTGTTCAAAAAAGCTTTGCAAAACAGCCCTTAAAATGAATGGAAAGCCAGTCTATGCTCTGCTTATTGGCATATAATCTTTTACACAGTTACGGAGTGTAGTGGAACAAGGAATCACAAGGGAGCAGCATCATGACTTTTTAATTAGTTTTCTGTAGTGCCCCACCTCAAAATTCCCTGTCCCCTCTGGACCTTGTTTATTTAATATTTAGTTTTCTGCTAGAAAAATAGTATCCAAGTTAGCTTACATTTTTATCTGTAATTCAGCAGGACAGGGAATTACTTTTCCAGCAACAATATATAGTTATGAACTACCCCTGTTATAATACCAAGTATTTTGGGATGGCATGGCCTTGAATGAGTTATTTAGAAGCTATAGTTAAAGTTGCTACTCCAGCTGTTAGAAATGTTTTGTGCATTAACATGGTTGTCAAAATTCCTGGCCTCTGTTTGGTCATGTGGCTATGGGGCATGTCATGAGTGCTTGCACCTCAGAATTTAGCCCTGCGCTATTGCAGATTAAAGGTATGTAGTATGTTTAAATCTTAGGCCAGCTATCAGAACTCTCAGGAAATAATGGGTCTGCAGGAAGTCTGGATGAATATCACTTTGAGTGTAACGTGCACACAGGGCTACAAATGCTGGCACCATATAGTGGCTGATATTGAGGAAGAGTTGTAGTAATCAGATATGTATAAGGAATGAGCAGTGAACAAAATTAATTACCTTTCTAGATTATAATACCATTTCTAAACCAAATATCTGTTACTTAGTGATTCAAACCTTTCCTAATTTACTGAATCCACAACTATACTCCATTACTCTTTATTGTGTTCTAGTTTGTCCTATGAGTCCAGTTAACATTTTCTATCTGGGCAATTAGACTCTTGAAATAGACTAAAATATGGTGTAAGGTGGTGGAGAATATAACTGTGGATTTAATAAATTTGGGAAAGGTTTCAATCACTAAGCAGTAGATACTAGGTGTCAGAAATGTTATTAATGATCTTCACAGAGTGAGCAAGCAACATATTTACATGTGGAGCAATATGTGGCGGGGGGGGGAGTTAGCATTTCCTTCAAAATGCTGCCATTCCTTGAATTGGTAAGAGAATTTGATTTCAGCAAAATGAGATGTGGTACTGTCCAGTTATGTGCTGCACATACTGGGTGTGTTGGACAAACTTTAGCTGAAAGACTGAATTCACAAGTTTATAAACCCAACCCAGAATGTTGGGTTTATAAACTGCCCTAAGCAGGCAGTGCTTGAAATACTGAATCATTAAACTGTTTATTTAAGGAAATATGTCTCTTTCCTTAAAAACATTTCTCTTCCAGAATGTCTTTTTTTCCACCATTAGGTACCTAGTTTCAGATCTACTTGGTATTGGTTATTCAATGCACAACAAGCCCTAGAGCGAGCCAGGTACCAACTTCCATATGTAATCCCTGCCCAGGTGTTGTTGTGTTGTGTGAACCTAGTGAGTGTGGTTATGCAAAGGTTAAACCACCTATGTATGCATGACCATAAAACAGACCATGGGTTCTATATTCAAAAGGGTAGCTGCACCATGAGTTTAATGTAAATAATGAGACAACTACTTGCCGCAGAAGCTGCCATTTGAGGCTGCTCTTCTCCTTATGAACACACTAGCTTCTTCTTGGATTTTCTCAGTATTTTTAGTTTCTACTCTAAAACAGAAGTGAAGTGGGGGGATTACATGAACCAGGTGGGGAGGTCCATTGTAATATCATCAAACACAACATTTTAAGAAATATGGACTTCTAGGATACAATGAAGCTGCATTGTTTCATAATGAGCATAATTTAGCATTATTTCATACATCAAATCCCCCCCCTTTTTTTGGTTGGAAAAGAGAAGCACAAGAACTGAACTTTGATTTACTTACTTGGGTTGAAAGGCAAAAGCCTATTATCATGTGAGGATTATGCACCTGGACTTTAGCATTTTGCTTGTGTCATTTGGTGTAAGTGGAATACTTTATGGCAGGGTTTCTTCCTTTCAAATTGCTGTGGATGCAGATAATCAGACAGTTTGATTTTGTTAGCTTCTCTGTAAATAGTAAAAGTTGCAACAAAGCTGATAACAGAATTTTCATAACTGAACTCTGCACACTTTTCTCTTACAGTGGTAAAACCTTAAAATTGAGTGCATGGAACAGTAATAAAAAGGGTGCAATTTTGGTGTGTATGGCCTTTGTAATATAAAAAATAGTAAAGCTTTATGCAGAACCTTGGGAAAAAGGGTGGAAGATGTAGTAACAGTTAACCTTTACTTCATTTGTTTTCACTACACAGAAACCGTTTCGTGGAGTTAGTAGAGATTCAAAAATAAAATCAAACCCCTGG